AGGTAATTCCGTATCTTACAGTTTAGCTAAGAGCACCTATGTGTCCTGAGGGTCCAGAAATGGAAGCTGAGTAACCATGAGCGACAGGTACTGCTGGTGCAGCAACAGGCACAGAGTAGGCTGCAGGTACGGCATGAGGTACAGGTACAGCATGAGGCACAGGTACAGGAAGAGCACGTGCCGCTGGCCATGGTACTGGAGCGGCTACATGAGCAGCGTATGGAACAGCTGGAGCAGCGTACGGGACAGCTGGAGCAGCTACGCCGTAAGCGTAGGCGCGGGCAGCTAAGGATTCGTGATCTTGGCTTTCCCAAAGGCCTTCTCCATGCCACTGGCCATCATCGTAGGCACCATATACATTTACTACGCCACTGGCATTTGCGAATGCAGCTAGGCACGCCAAAGATACGAATACCTGGAATAATCGGTTTGTCACATATTATGTAGGACCTAAGAAGGTACCAATGTCCAACACCGAGTACTGGTCCTACATGAATGAGTATTAATGATGAAGACAGATGATGAGAAAATTAGTGAAAGATCTTATTAAGTTGTATCATCGGGCAGGGTCAAATTAGTACCCCAAACTAGCCGCTAAGTAAACCGTTGGGCGATTTGGGCTTATTGAGGGACGAATTGTTATCCGGTTTCTTAATAGGAGTTGCTACTGGGATCCAATTATATTTATGGATGTATGTATATAAATATTAAACATGATTACAACTATTATTATTATATTGCGAAAAAAAGAGCTTTAACATGTCGACAGTGGAATTTATGAAAAGGGAACTCGATAAAATGATATTTTGTTTCCAGGAACAGTTGAGCTATTTTGTATAAAGGTACAACAAATCTTAAGTTTGCAAAAATAGAAGACCCGAAGAACATTATTACATAATTATAAATTAATCATTACTATGATAAGATTTCCGAAGTGTTGTTAAATCAACAAGAAATGACCAACGAGCTAATACGAAAAGTTGTTGACGAGCCCTACCAAGATAATTGATATGGGAATAGCAAAGTAAAGAAGATGTGGGAACCGTCATCCACTAAGAATAATACGAAAAAGCATGTAACACGGAAGATTAA